CCTCCCCCCCAGCCCCCCACAAAGTTTCAAGAGGATTTTTGCCATTGACTTCAATGGCCCCATTGGTTATAATGGACCCGAATTTTTCGGGATTTTTTTTCGGGATTCGGACAAGCTCATATGTTGGGGAGAGGTTCCAGTAAGCACGCTCCAAGTTTGGAGCCTCTACCCCAAACCCCCTCCCCCCCAGCCCCCCACAAAGTTTCAAGAGGATTTTTGCCATTGACTTCAATGGCCCCATTGGTTATAATGGACCCGAATTTTTCGGGATTTTTTTTCGGGATTCGGACAAGCTCATAAATTGCTAATTCGGGATCCAAAAAGCCGAAAAAAGCCGAAAATCGTTATTTTCGGCTTTTTTTTCGGCTCGGGATCCCGAAATGCACATCCCTACTCCTGGAGTCCCTCCCGGATCAGCCAGTCCACGTCAGGGAAGTGGCTCGCTGCACCGCCGAGGACAAGGTTCTTTGCCGGGTCTTGGACTGGGTGGTAAGGGAGTGGCCTGAGGCCAAAGGGGACCCGGACCTTGCTCCCTTTGCTTCCCGGAAGGACGAACTATCCGTCCACAAGGGCTGTGTGCTGTGGGGGAGCAGAGTGATCATCCCTAAGCCCTTACGGGAATGGGTCCTCACCACCCTTCACGAGGCGCATCCCGGAGTGGTGCGCATGAAAGCCTTGGCCCGGAGTTACGTCTGATGGCCAGGGCTGGACAAAGACATTGAGGACGTAGTAAAGAGGTGCCAGCCATGCCAAGCCTCTCGGCCAGAACCACCTTGAGCCCTGGAAGCCTCTCACCGCCCCTGGTCCCATTTTTTCTCAATAATTTCAGAAAACAACATCTGGTCATATATATATGTATATGCATGTTTTTTTGCATGTGTTTCTGGATGTGTGTCATTTCAATATAAAAAATATTGACTATTGAGGAAGGTCCGAAGGGGCCGAAATGCGTATGGTCCTTAGGTCAGAAAGTTTTACCCATCAATTGTATTTGTATAATAACTAACTTGGTTGTATAAGCCTTTTAAGTTTGAGACTTAGACTATTTATTTTAACCGCAGTATGTTTTAGCTATGTGTACACCTTAATAAACATTTGTATTTTTAATATAATATAGTTGTTAGCTTGACCCTCTTAGTTTGCAGCGTAAGATACTTATCCAACAAAGGAAATCATTACTTTTGAATATGCAAGTAAATAGTGCCACGTTATTTCTTTGACCTGTGAATTTTGTGATGAAGTGCTCCGAGTTAACTTATTTGAATTGTGGTAAATTTGGTAGTTAAATGTGATATAAACATATGTACATTTTGAATTTGCCAATAGTTGTCAGTATTAACATCCCTATAATACAAGTGTTTGATCTCTTGTCAAAAAGCAAAACAAGGTTAAGTAAGCTTTTGGGTATTCTGAAATTCTTATGTTTGTATTATGTCATTCCAGCCAGCAGTATCCGTGGGGAATGTTGGTCAGCTGGCTGTTGATTTAGTCATTTCCACACTTGGGATGACCAAAGTTGGTTACTTTTATACTGATTGCCTTGTGCCAATGGTTGGAAATAATCCATATGCAACAACAGGAGAGAATGCAACAGAACTGTGTATAAATGCTGAAGGTAGGTGTTACAAGCATAATCTTGTTAAGACACTCCTGGTTATTGATTTTGGTGGTGATTCTATAATGTCTTTTATTCAGAGAGATTTACTTCTTAGGGCTAGTTCAAGAATCTGAACCTTTTTCCATGTAGAGTTATTCCTGATAGGGAAGTAGTATCTGACCTGGAAGTTCATTGTTTATAGTGGCCGCTTTCTAGCTGCAATCTTTGTGAGTACAGGGACAGTCATGACACTTAAAATGCCACCACGAAGCATCAATAACTGGGAATGCATTTGTTCTGACATGACTCCTTTACATAGCTGTGTCCATGAAATGGTCAGGTTGGTCTCAGACTTCTAAACTGGCTTGCACAATGCCATCCTACTCAGGTCCGTTGAATGGGGCTTGCTCCCAGGAAAGTATTCTTAGGATTGCGTTGTCAGTGAGGTGGATCCAACCAACGTTTCTACTCAGTCTCACATGGCTTTTGCTTACACAGGTCCTATGACCCCAAGCATAACCCTTTTGGGTGGTCAAAGTAGATTCTTCCTCCATTCTATAGCAGCAGAAAAGCCGGGGGATAACGAAACTGTGCTTTGTGTTCAATCCAGTTGTACTATCTGGTTTTAGTGGACAGTTACTTGTGTGGGCTAAGAGAGAAAATGCAAATATTTGAGATCCAAACAACATCAATGTGGGAAAGGAGCAGAAATCTTTATCTGTGAAAATTTATTTTGTTTTTAAAAACACATGAAGTAACATTACCTGGTGTTTCCTGGAATCTTGCTGTTGTGTGTTGAACTCTATTAGTTACTGCATGTTAAACTTCAAATAAATATCTGTCCACTGTATTTCTGTTCAATGCCAGATGTCAATGTGCACTGCAGACATAACTGCCTTACCACATCCATCTCCAGACCTCGAAACTCCGGGCTTGTATTTCACATCCTACAAATTTCTGGTTTTTTAAATAGTTTTATTTTTGTTATTGAGGCTTTTTGGACTGCTTAGCCTTCTAGATCTCAACGAGGGCAATGCCTGGACTCAGGGTGCAACCCAGTATTCACTTAGCCTATTATGAGGGTGGTATAGGCTTGAAGGAATCATAGGCTTGATGAAGACATCTAAGAAACCAGTTCATTTCAGTGGTATGCATGGCTTGGCTGTCTCTTTGTTTTCATTTTTCTCTATCCCTCTCAGTATTACAGTAACAAAGTTAGTGGAGAGCTGGGGCCTGAGAAAGCATAACAGTTACAAAGCAGGTTTCATGTCTGACTGATTCAGACTTTTAATATTTTCAACAGAAAGGCTTTGTAACTGTTTTTGACAGAAACTGCACCCAAACCCAACCTTTCTTCAAAATACCTGAAGTCCCTAATGGACTCCCTGCTTGACCAGCAAACCTCTTACTGCTTCTTCCACCAAAATCCAACAACCTTCAACTGTCAGTTTTTTTCTTTTCTGCATTCCAGTCCACTTCACCATATGAAAGTGATTGGCTGAGGCTCTTGGAGGGTGAACCTTGAAACCTTCCATTGCACTGTGGTTTTACGTCTTGTTGGTAGATTCAGGTGGGGTAGCCATGTTGGTCTGAAGCAGCAGAACAAAGTTTGAGTCCGGTGGCACCTTTAAGACCAACAAAGTTTTATTCAAAGCGTAAGCTTTCTTGTTCAAGCAGCCTTCCTCATTTTGTCTGAGGAAGTGTGCTTGCACACGAATGCTTACACTTCAATAAAACTTTGTTGGTCTTAAAGGTGCCACTGGACTCAAACTTCATATTTTTGGTAGTGAGCTTTGACTTCTGGAATCCTTTGCAGCTTTGTTAATTAAATGTATCTGAATGTGTGCCTTCTTATACTGTTTGTGCTATTTCTTCTCATAGTGTATGCCATGCCTTCTAAAGAGCTGGTGGTTCTACAGATCAGATCACCATTCATAAAGGTGTGTATCTCCACTGGAAGTATTTGAATTATTATACTTCTTAGTGCAACCTGATATAGATTAATCCCTCTATCCTAGCATAAAGTAATTTTGTGGTTCATAGGATGGTTTTTATTATCTGTACATGGGCTGTAGTCATGCTTCAAAAACTGGTAATAAAACACAGTTTTCCTAGTAAGAATCTTAAGATGGCTGTGATTTATAGTAGAGGGCATTTTAGAATGGCTCATTCAGATCTTCAGTTCATCTTGTTAGCCAAACTGCTTTATGTACAGCAGTGGGCAGACTAAATTTAATCTGGGTTCTTGCTTGTGTATACCAAAGTCCAGTCCATCCCAAGGTTTTGCCAGTGAGAGAGTCAAGACTGGTGTGTTCCAAAACAATCTGTCTTTTACTTAAGAATATATAAATCACGTACACACAAATCAGATTCACACACACAATCAAGCAAGTTCCTCAGAAATACAGAATTACAATAGTCACTATAGAAATCACAGGTAGGTAAATGGGTAGCAATACTTATCTGCCCTGAAGCTTGTTCGTTTCAATGAAGAATGAGGGTTAGAAATAGAAATGCTAGGGGAGTTATCACACAGCTGGAACCAGCCAGCGTGTGGGTCTCTTGGCTGCGCACACCAAGATATTAAGTAGGGACAAAGGATTTGGTACAGAGAACTGGACTTAAGAGGGGTTTGAAAGCAGACAGGGGGCGTAGGTGGGGGAAGGCGGCTAGCAAAGACCAAGCACATGGTCCTTAGCTTTTATAGGTGAATCTTCGGGTGGGTGGCAACTGAGCCATCCTTTGGATCCACCTACTTGTAAGTCCGTCCCAAGACCAACCTCATTGGTGTGTGTAGAGAGGGGTGACTACCTAAAGGGTTTGGCCAATATTGTAACACTATATCTAACTCAAGGGATGGCATCTGGTGAGGTGTGAAAGTTTGGTGTCAAGGAACATCCTTGATGTGTAGATGAAGCTTGCCTTTCCCAGGTAATCAGAGATGCATCTGTCAGGAAACTGTCAGTTCAGATGTAAAACAGAGATGTGTAGTGCGTGTCTTTCCACAGTTCATCAATGGGGGAAACTCTTCCTTCAGTTGTTGTTTGCAGACAATAATGGCTATGTGTGCTTCTTCTTCCCTCGGGCCCATAGCTGTGTATTTGAAACCTCATTAACATGTAAGGCTTAGAGCAAATCACTATCTATGTGTATCTCACAACTAGTGACTTGTATAGCATTCTTGAGCCTATGGGTGTATTTGTGTGCACAGTCCATGTACTGTTGGCAGCAAATATAAATCCATAAAGCAAAATATCACTCGTATTTCTCAACAATCTGGATTGCTGAATGTAGACAAAAACAAACATCACCATTGTCCCACATAAAGTAGTCAAGAGAGATGAGTCTTTTTGATACTGGTGTACATCCATGAGACTTCACAATTCATCCCACTTATTCAGGAAGGTCTGATTTATGTATTTATTTTTATTTATGTAAAACATTTTTATGCTGCCTTTCTACCCAGACAGGGTCCCCAAAGCAGGAAACATGAAAACATTATTTGAACAATTAAAAATAACACTTAAAATTATAAAATAATTCAATAAAACATGTAAACATAAAGCACTGGATTTAAGAAGTCATGAAATATTATAGGGAAAACAGGGTGGTACGCTATCTTGTTAAGGCTATGGATTATTGCAGTGGTCCTCACCCTGTCCAGATCCAGGACCTACTAGCATGCAAGCATGTGACAAGAGGTTGGAAGGAGCCTAAATTATAACCTTTCCAAGTGTTGAGCCCAGGACCACTGGCAGGAAACACCAGCCAAGTACAGGGAGGTATACCTTAGTGAAGAACAGCCCTGGGTCAGAGTTGTGGAGAAAACCTTTCTACCACTATGGAAGCATGCATAGAAAGGCAGGACATTCGGGCTCCCTTGTTCTATATATAGCATGTCCTTCCAAAAACCAGCAAAGAATGGCAGCTCTGTAGGGACTTGTGACCCACCCCCAGGTTCCTAACCTATGGGTTGAAGACTGCTGGATTAGTGTGTATTGTCTCATAGAAATGCTGTCCAGAACAGGCACTAGCAATAGTTGCAGCACATGTTGATTTAAACTGACACACTTGTTAATTGTTCTATACCTGTTTGGTGGCAACTTCCCCATGATGACTTCCTACCGTAATCTGTGGCTCCATTTGTGCATGACCCACCCCCGTATGTGAACACTTGCTGTTGGTTCAGTAATGTGCATTATGCCCATTGAGTTTACGGCTACGATAAAACAATACACAGATTTTAGGGCCGTCCTGTACAATAACGTACGTTGCAATAATGTATTGCAAGAATTCATTTAGACAAAAGTAACTGCTGATTGCTGTACTGGCTTACCCAAAGTCCTCTGAAATTTTGACAAGGCTTTGATGCAATGATTTTTCAGTCAAAATATTTTCATGTTCTAAAAGACATTAAAGCAAATATCTTGGAAAATGTGTCATTATGTATAAGTCTAACAATCCCAAAATAATTTATAACTGGCTGTTTTCCTTCCCTTCCCTTCATATGAAGAATAAATATCGGCACTTCTGCGATGCGTTGCTGTCCTGGGTGAAAAGCTGCAGCTTTGCCAGAGTTGTTCTTTTGTCCAGCAGTCATGCTTACCAGCGTAATGATCACCAGCTTCACACGTAGGTCCATGTGAATGATGTAATTAATGGATATAGGTGCTTGATTACTTTTCCTGACACAGATTGCCCAAAGTTGGTCACACTAAAAACACCAATCTAAGCACTGGAAAACTATGATAAACTTTTCTGTTACTGAAGATATTCAGCTCTTACCTTTGTATTCGGGGGGAGGGGGATGTTTGTCCTATAATCTAGGTTTTAATTGTGTACTGGACCTTAACCTTAACTTCAGTAGCCACATACCAAGCAATGGGCTGGATCCAGTGATCCATCAGCGGAAGTGCTGATGTATGCAGATTCTTTCCCTTGCCTCCAATCACCAGTAGTCCTTAAAAGTTGATTCCTGGGACTGGATTTTAGTAGTAATTAAACTAACAGATACGTTTCTGTTTTTAATGAATTCCAGTTAGTATGACTTTCCCTTATCTGTGTGCATGTTGCCAGCTACCTAGTAATGGTAACATTATGTCTTCTTTTGTCATGTAATGGGGTTTTTTTTGGTGGATTTAGATCAAGTACTGTGTCAATGCCGTTGCTTTTTGCTGCTTTTGTTCACTGTGTGATAGTGAAACGGCAACTAGAGTTACTAATAGAACTAGAAAGTCAAGAGTCCAATAGCACCTTAAAGACTAACAAAATTTGTGGCAGGGTATGACCTTTTGTGAGTCACTGCTGACTTCTTCAGGTATCTGCTACTGGACTTTTGCTGTTTTCTAATACTACAGACAGACTAACATGGCTACCCATCTTGATCTAAAAATCAAGGTTTGATGTCTGTTGTAACTTAACTTTTTGCATCTTATACATCTGTTCTTTGGTTTCTTGACAGTAATTCACTGCGATACTTGCTTTCACCTGCTGTTCAGAAAACAGTTCGAGATCTAATGCAAAGATTGAACTGGATAGAACTGGAGAAAGTGGCAACCTTTCGTGAAGTAAATGATGATGAGAAAGTGCTCCACATTCCGGGAGGGGGCATCACAAAACTGTTGTTCACTGAAAGGTTGGTGAGGAAGTAACTGGTTAATATTGAGATGTGTGTAAAATAGTAATGGGGAGTTCTGTATTTAATATGTGCTGATTGCCATGTTTCCAGAAGTTACTTTGGCCTGAACTCTCTAGTCTCTGTGAGGCTGGTTTAGTAAAGAACTTTTATTGAACAGCTGGGGGATTCTGTTCCCGTCTTCATTTCCATAATGTGCTTTAACACTATTTAAGAAACTGAACTATTGTAAAGCTTCTAAGTCACTTGATTGGAATGTCCTCACTTCCTCTCAGCTAGCATTTGTATAATATGCACTGATACTACTTTGCAGCCCAAACGTTAGAATTCCAAACTGAATATATGTTTGATGTACTAATTCCAACACAGTTCCTATTTGGTGAGCTACTCATTGGTGTATTCTTCTGGTCTCTCAAACTGGATGACTCAAAAATAAAGGAACCTTGGCTTAATAGTTAACCTTTTTAACTTAAGGACCTTCCTAATTGTCTTCCTGATGTTTTTTGTCCCCTACTTCTGTCCTTGGGCTCAGTCTAATCTCCAAACCATTTTTGAGCTTCATTATGGCTTTTGGAACTTCTGTTCCTGACCCTATTGTGTCCTGCCTTCTACAGCTGATTGCCTCATCTCTCATGATCTTCATGTAGATTTTAATTTCCTACCGAGAGTTATCACAATTAGGCCTCCATGGAGTTGTCAGGTCTGGGTTGAGGAATATCTGGAGATTTTGGGGGTAGAGCCTGAGGAGGGCAGGGTTTGGGTAGGGAAGGGAAGGGACTTCAATTTTGTATAATGTCATAGAGTCCGCCTTCCAAAGCAGCCATTTTCTCCAGGTGAACTGATCTCTGTCACCCCAGGGATCAGTTGTAATAGCGGGAGATCTCCAGCCATCATCTGGAAGTTGGCAACCCTAGACCCCCACCAGATATCGTGGTTTCCTCTACAAACCAGCCTGCTGTAGTGGAGAGAACACTTGAACTTTGATGGAAGTGAGACAGTTCAAATATTGCTTGAGAAGTGAAGCTCCCTTTGGTTCCTTACTTGGAATAAAGCTATTGGGTTCCTTGTGTTACATCCAGCATATGCTGAGAAAGGGAAATGCTTCAATAATTAGAATTCTTTCCTTGTTTACTTCTGGAATCATTACTGTAATGTTTACAGTACAAATTAAATCAGTAGTGCTTATAAGGAAATATTCTGTTTAATGATTACACAGGCTCTGTTTTTTATTCTAGTTGTTCAGAAGGAATTCAGATGGTGGTTTTGCTGAAATTTTGCTCAGAGGGGGACAATATCCCAGATGCACTTGTTCTTGCTGACTATCTTAATGAGTGGCTTCAAGTAACTACAAACCAAGTAAGTTTTTGTCTTCTAAACCCAAGAAGAAACATGACAGTTTTTTAGCTTCAGGAGTTCAGACAGTTAATGACAAAGATCACTGTACTCTGAAATTGAAATATTTCGGCTTATGAACGATGTTTTGTGGAACTCTGTCCTTTTTGTTCTAAAGGCAATTAACATATATAAAACAGTCTTATACTGAGTCAAACCCTTGGTCTGTCTGACTCAGTATTGTCTACTTTGATTGGCAGCAGCTGTCTAGAGTCTCAGGCAAACAGAAGTTTTCCTCACACCTCTTACCTGAGATTCTTTTACTGGGAGATTGAACCTGGGAGTACATGCGTATGAAGTAGGTACTGTATGACCAAGCCACAGCGCCTCCAACAGATGCCAAATGCAGTGACTGACAACTGTGAGGCTACCATTCAGAATACTGCATTTAGTGGAAGTTGAAAAGGAGGCTGCATTCAGAAGTCATGAAGAGAAATTTTGTCTGTAACAGGCCGCAGCCTGTCTTTTTGTCATGCTCACACACTCCTTCCATCTGCCCGTTGCTGCTCTTGTGTGGATGGAACATGATCAAAGACTTCCTGGGTTCAGAAATATTCAAGCTAACTACATTGCCATGATGCAGCAACATGTAGCAGTAACCCTGGTTTGTGGGAAAGAAACAATCTCCCATTTGTCAAGGCACTGTCATCTGGACATCAGGACAAAATTGTAGTTAAAAGACTTTTGAAACCAGGAAATCTTTGTTCATGTTCCACACATGAGTGAAGTGAGGTTTGGTGGGAAGGAACACACAGACACAATAAAAGTTAGTGTTGTGCTCTCCGAACAGGGACAGGTGTGAGTTTGAGCCATCTAGAGATTTTCAAACCTTTTTTTTCAGGGGCTGCTTTTAGTTTTTGTTTGCTACAGAACCTCTGTGCATTGCAGAAGATTCTGGGGTATCTTCCAGGATACTAGGGTTGCCAGGTCCCTACCTTTTGCCAGCGGGGGAGGGGAGAAGCTCATGGGATCTTCTGGCGTGATACCATAGAGTTTTCAGGCTGAATGCTAGAGTGTCCCTGCAGCGATGTACCCGGCATGAGGTGACATCGTCATGCTGGTCACATTGGCCTGATCCAGGCACTTTGGGACCTGGGCCAACGGATCGAGGGGGCCCTAAAGCAAGCAAACCCTCGACCCCCCCCCCCCGGGGGGGAAAATCTGGCAACCCTATAGGATACATATTCAGTTTGTGTGAAGAACTGGCCTGGATTCTTAGACTTCACTGTTGGCTTCCATCAGCTGTATTTATGGCTGGAATCACTGCTGTGGGTTCAGCTGGTTTAAACTATTGCTTAGTTGATTTAGGTGTGTATTTTCATTAACCACTCTCAAGTTCAACAGTTTTTAAATTGAAAAGTGGGATATAAATTTCCTGTCACTCTCTATTGTGAGGAAAATTGGTAGAGGTGGACAAACTATCATTAAGAGAAGGATGTCACCCACTTCTCACTTTCCTTCCCTAGAACACAGCATGAAAGTTCACTGGCCCAGACCCTTACGGCTAGCAGAATGCAGCTGACTTGAATAGTTTGCTAATTGAATTGTAGAGGGTCAGCAAAGGCATGTTGTTGGGTTAATGCAATTCTATTAATGCAATATTTTGTTGTGACTTTTATTTTCTGAATCCAGCAGAGTGGCAGTTCTCCTGCTAAGTCTTCCAAATGGAAAACACCAAGTTCCTGGAAACTCCTCTTTGGCAGTGGCCTTCCACCTGCGTTGTTTTAGATCCTGCTTATTTTATTTAAAGCCAACCTGTACAAAATTGAAGTTTTCTGTTTTGATTTTAATATAAGCAGCAATTGCCACTTTGTAACATATAAAATATAATTCCTGCGATCCAGTTAAGCTAACACTTCAGTATGTTTCAAGGAACGCATAAAATGAACTGTACGTACTCAGTGTTTTTCATAAGGACTTTTGCTAGCTTCTGGTTTGTCTTCTCTCAAACGATTTAAAACATTTCAGATGTCTAAAAAATATTTAAATAATTTTTCTGGCCTTGACCATGCTGGCTAGGAAACATCCATAAAATCCCTCCACACACACTGACTTCGCAAAGTATTCCACCATCCCCATTCGTTCCTTGACAGTGTAAGCTGTAGGTATGCTATTCCCATCCAGCTGCAGCAGCCAGAGCTCCCAGCACAAAAGGTAAAGCTCAGCAGTCTTGACTTTTCTGACATTTCCACAGGGCTAAAAAATCCCCTGGATTATTCATCCATGCAGTCTTGCATCCATACTATCCTCTGGTTACAGAGAAACTTTCTTATTGAAACTGAATACTCTGCATCAGTATCAGTCTTTGGGATGTCTAATGCAACTAATGCCATAGCGAAGAATGTCTTTCTACGTCAAGGAAACTAAAATATGAAGTCTTTGCATGTGAACAATCTACAGGCTTTGTAATCCACCTGGGACAAGAGTTTTGTGGATCTACTGTGTTTACTAATTTTCCACTGGAATTGCATGTTTGCATAGGGGTTAATGCATCTTTATAGATGGGAAATAAATAATTGAAATGTGTCCCATACCAGCATTAAGCATGTGTGATCCTGAGCCTGTTTCAGAGGAAGTACAGGTAGCCACTGTTTCATCAGAAATGGTGCCACCATTTAATCAGGCAGCCAAGTTTTGCATGTGTGGTTTTTAAAACTTAAACTTATTTCTAGCAAAAAAGGAGGGTAGCTGGCACTTTCTTAGTAAATGCATTCTTCCTCCTCCTGTCTAATAGGAGTGACGACCTCTTATGGAATAGTGTCTGCTATGACACATTCATGCATCACTTAAAACTAAAACCCTTTTTTTCCCTTCAGAGCTATTCAGATGCAAATGTATGCAAATTTAAGCAATTAAAACGAAGGGTTCTTTGGTCAAATGGGGCCCCTAGTTACTCCTTGCTTGTATTTTGGTAGCTCAAGATTCAGAGAAGAGTAAGCCTCTTAGTACTGCAGACAAGATTACATCTGCTTTGAGATGCTTTGAGGTGCTGTTGATCAGTTTTTTCCCCTTCAGTACTTCATGTTTGTTGGGAAGGACCCACTGTGGGCATCTGATAAGGTAGCCTCTGATCCATGGAAGCTTGTCCTGGAATGAAAATGTATTAATGTTCAAGCTGCAACATGAGTTTTAGTTTATCAATGGAAAAACTGCTCTAACAAGTACAATTTGCCCAGGGGAGAGAAGAGGACACTTCTGAAGAAGTGATAGCTTAAGAAGAATATGCATTCTTTATATATAAAGCTGGATACAAGAGAACATACATGCTAAAGGGTTTCATTGCTTTAAAAAATTCTTGGACTAGAATGACCGTGGAGGTAGAAATGGAGGCAGTGTGCTCACGTACAGTGTATAATACATTGAGTGTGCCGGTGAGCTGTGCAGCTTCAAACATGGAATGCTACAGTGCCGTGCCAGGCGTCTGCTGCACAAGAAGTTCAGGTTACCATTTCCTCCTCCTCCTGGCATATTCGGTTGTTGACAAAAAGGAATGTGAAGATTGAGGTGATGGTGATTTCCCCATAGTCTGGTTTCCCTGGTTGTCCCCAGAGCTTTGAGCCCCACTCCTTTTTACAGCATCTGCCTTCCTGTCTCTCAGTACTTCGTCTTTAACTGCAGCACAAAAGGTGAGTCTGCTCTGTTTTCTAAATCTAGAGTCGTGCAGTCCAAAGTTTCTCAATTTCGCATGTGGGCAGATTCAACTTCAGGGGTTGGTTTCCAAGGGGCAGTGACAAGCTATGTCACAGAAAATCTCTTCTCTTGCCAGCAGCAATGCAGATCTTACTTAGCAGTTTATTTCCTTTGTTTATACCCTGCCTTTCTTCCCAGTGGGAACCAGAAGCAGCTTATGTGGTTCTCCTGTCCTTCACACGAACCCTGTGAGGTAGGTTAGGCTGAGTGTGTGTGACTAGCCCAGAGTCACACAGCAAGCTTCTATGGCACAAGTGAGGATTCAAACCTGGGTCTCCCAGATCTTATTGTGACACTCTAACCAATGGGTTACACTGCCATCAAGTGATTATTTGCAGCCCTTAAAAAGTTAAAAAGACAAAGATAAAGCTTGTAGCTAGCACACATCTCTTTGGGGGGAAGATAGGCTGAAAGAATGCCAGGTGGAAGCCTCCAGAGCTAGCTTATGAATGTCAACGGCAATTGCTCTGACTTCAGTAACAACCTCCAGAACCCACTGTTGGGCTGTGCAACTTTTATTTCATCTATGTCTCTGAACATACAAGGTGTACTGCATGCTGACACCCAAATATCACCTTGTGGGGTTGGGTTGAGTGATCCATCAGCAAAATGTACTGGCTTTCATGGATTAACCCCCCCCCCCCCGGCAGCCATTTCCACCTCTGGAAAGTTGATTCCTTGAACCACTGTGGGATAATAGCTGCATGGTCAGCAGGCTTCAGTGAGGAGGGGCAAAGGGTGCGAAACCACCCTTCCTGCCTCCTCTGGCGGTGCAGCGTCACTGATAAAATGGAGGGAGCATTTATCCCCTTTCTCCTTCTTCACTGCTGCCTGCTGACTCATATGGCCATTATGCCACACAGGTCCTGCATACTTCAGGAATCAACTTTGCTGGGCACAGCTGTGCAGAGAGAGGTGAAAGTGAGAAAGATCCACGATTCTTGCAGTAGACGGGTGGATCCCACTCTGGGTATGCATATGTATTGTATCAAAGTAAATGTATGGTCGTTGCTTACTAACAAAACCCTTTACCTTGGAAAAGTAAGCTACTGGTACCTAGCAAAACACAAAGCCACTGGCATACAAGAAGACAAATTCAAAAACAGAACAAAAAATACTTGCCTGTAATAAGATGATTTTTTTCCAGTCCTTGTTGACACAGTAGGAGCTGCAATCTATTGTTAGATGCAACCTTAATTAGTTATTGCATCACAGTAGGAATCTTTATGCCTCTTGGTTATTCAAAAAATGTCTTGTACGTTTTTACTCTATTAGAGGCTATCAAAGGTTAAAACACTTAATTCATACTTTGAGGATCAACTGGTACTCCCTGCGTCCATCAGTGCCCAGGAGTCAGATCTACAGCCCTTGGCTCGAGATCCTAATATCGAATTGTCCCTTAGCCCCCGGGATGGTACAACCTTGGCATGACTGGCTCCAGAACGAAAGTTGTCAAAACCTGTAAGGGGTTTGGGAATAATTTCATGGAACATTGCAGGATGGTTCAAATGGCTATCCAGAAGTCCGATGATTTTTAGCCATCACCATATCCCGGAAGTGCTGGCAGTCCAAGAAACATGGACTGATCTACCCCTGGAATTGGAGGGTTTCATATCTTATAGTATGAAGGCCGCTAAGGGTAGGGAACGGGGGAGGATGAAAGGAGGCTTGGGTATATTAATTTCAACATCTTTAAGGGTTTCCTGTAAGGAACTGCAGCCTCTAGATCAGCTGGCAATGGCAATAGCACTTCATTGGAAGGGAGAGAGTTTGATTATAATAAACAGCTACCTACCCCCATTATATAAAAAAATTGATATCGATAAGAATTGGGCATCCCTAGAGAATTATATACTATCGATAGTTGAATCACACCCTAAAGCGATGATCCTTGTATTGGGAGATCTAAATGCCCGTATGGGTCCAGACGATCCCTCATTAGATGCTAAATATAGGCTATTCTTTAGAGATCATCTGGAGGGTTCGGATAGCCTGCTCCTACCTAGACTATTTAAAGACAGAAAATCCAACTACGCAGGTGCATGCTTGGCGAAGCTAATGTTTAAAACAAATCTCCAAGTTCTAAACGGTTCCACACCAGATGACTACCCCGGAGGTTTTACTTATATGTCAGGAGTGGCGGCTAGCACCCTAGATTATCATCTAGTATGCACATCCCTGTTACCCAAAGTAAAAAGTTTCAAAATTCTGCCATATTTAGACGGAGATCATCTCCCTCTATCTTTACAGTTATGGGCCACCCCACAGGAGCCATGTCGGGAAATCTGGTACTCCCCCCAAAGGAGAGGGTCTGAACAACAAAGACGTTCTGCTAGGTGGTCCAGCGATCTAGCAAACAATTTAAAGGTAATCTTGGCAGCAGAAGATATTCAAAAATATGCTGCTGCCTTCTCAAACGTAAGTCAAAATGAGGATCCTTTGACATTATACGACGGACTTATTAAGAATCTCACGCCCCTCCTGTTTCAGAAGGTAGGTCAGAGAGCCCACACCCCTTGCAAGCTAAAGTCAAAGATTTGGTTTGACAAAGATTGCCTGGAGGCAAAAAGAGTACTTATTCGAGCTTATGCTAATTACATTGGTCTTTATGCCACGAGAGAGTTAAGTGCCTACCTAGCCCTACTAGAAAAAAAACGATCTTATAAAAATTTAATTAAAAGAAAGAAGAAAGATTATGCTAGGGAAGCATGGAAGGCTCTAATCCAAGCTGCCAAGGAAAAGAACTCCGCTTTGTTTTGGAAGATGGTCTCCAATCAAAAGCGAAATAGTACCTTAACGAGGGAATCTTATATTCCCCCTGAAACCTGGATCTTTCATTTCCAGAACTTGTACCATGATAATCATACCCCCTCCTTTATGTCCACAGTTTTCAGTGACCTGCCTAGCTGGCCCTCAGTCTCCCCAGCAGAGATCTCAGCACTGATAGGCCAACTTAAAAGAGGAAAGGCCCCCGGCCTTGATGGAATCCCTCCTGAGTTTCTGAAGGAAAATATGAATTGGTGGGCACCCTTCCTAGCACACCTTTTTACCTATATCGATAGAACAGGGAGGGTGCCAAGCGAATGGGGGGAGGCGGTGGTTGTTCCTATCTATAAAAAAGGTAATCAAAAAGATCCTGCAAATTACAGGCCTATTAGCTTACTAAGTGTCATTAGCAAATTGTATGCCAAACATCTTCTGGAAAAATTTACACATTGGATGGAGAAAGAGGATATATTGAACCAGGAGCAAGCCGGGTTTAGGCAGGGTAGGTCGACAATGGACCACTGCCTTCTTCTTCGGCATCTCATTGACAAATACTCTGGCAAGGGCCCCTCGTCACTTTACGCTGCGTTTATTGATCTTAAAGCGGCCTTCGACTCCATTTCTAGATCTATATTATGGAGAAAACTTGAAGCCTCTACAATAGACAGGAGACTTTTAGTGCTCATTCGTGCCCTTCATGAACAAACATCTTTGAGGGTTAGATATACCAGGTTGGGGCATTTGACTGATAAAATTCCCACTTTAAAGGGAGTTAGGCAGGGATGTATGTTAGCGCCTGCGCTTTTTAACTTTTACCTCAACGATGTTGTTGGATGTCTAAATGATGTAGATTTTCACCCTCCTAAACTGGCTCAGCGCTCCATCACTATACTTTTATATGCCGATGATGCTGTTATTCTTTCTAGAACCCCAATTGGATTGAGAAGGGCACTTAAGAAGTTTGCTAGCTACTGCAGTGATCAGGAGCTGGATATTAACTATGCGAAGACAAAGGTGATGGCCTTTGGCAGGAGACCCAAATTAAGAAAGTGGAGTGTAAACGGCCAGAATCTTGAACAGGTAGCTAGCTTTCGCTACCTAGGCATGATCATCCAAGCCTCTGGATCTAAGACTGCCCATAGCCAGGCAGCAGCATGCTCGGGTGAAAAATCCTCTCACGGTATACTTAAGTTTTTCAGATCCCAAGGGGGATACTTTGTACCAGCAGCTATAAAACTTTTTAAGGCTAAAACACTTGCCCAGATGCTTTATGGTACGCTGCTTGGAGCGCCTTCCTCTAGCTATGCCCCCTTGGAGCTAGTTCAATCGAAGTTTTTAAGAGCAGTGCTTCAAGTTCCTAGATGCGTATCTAATGCAATGGTAAGGCTAGAGACGGGCATGCTGAAGGTCGAAGCCATGATTGCCTTACACTCCATCTTCTATTGGTTGAAGATAAATTTAAATCCGTGTGGACTAGTGCCTCTGATTCTGACTGATTCCTTTGAATCTGAATGGCTGGTCGCTGTTAAGCGAAAAATTTCACTCTTGGGGTATTCTCCTCAAGCGCTTTTGAAAATGGGTGGTGACCGAGCTAAGTTAGAAATTAAGCAGAGGATCAAGGACACCGAACGCCAACTAGATCTACAGGTGTCTCCAACTTTTATAGCGCCAACTAGTAATAAATACATTGTTGCACAGGCCCCATATTTAGCTGT